GGGGATAAGATGGCCGAACAACATTGACGCCATTGATATCTGTTGCGGGCCATGACATCCAATGTTTCCAACCACTGATATTCTGCATCGCGTGTTTCCCAACGTGAAAGACAGACCGGACCGACTGCTGCCAAAGCTGAGGTTGCCTTCTCCACGTCATTGGGTGTCCATCACGGCACTTCTTCCAATCGCTCCCTGGGAGTGCAAATAACGCTTGACGTGGAAGGCGATGGGCTGGCATGCGCAAAACGTGCAAGAACCAACGCGTGCGATGTCCGATAATAAAGTTTTGAAGATTGGCACTATTCGCTCCAAGCACTCGGACCTCTGTGTTGCTCACGAAGTGTTACCACCACACCTGAGCAATCCTTCGTGGGCAGTGATTATCGAAGACTGACAACCGCTTCATGTATTCCGAGCGAATAGACCGTCTCACAGCCGTACAAGAGTACTGCACGGACGGAAGCATTGTGCACCCTGCCCTTGAGAGTGACACCACGACGACGCCAATGGTACCTCAGTTTGATGAATGCAAGGCAAACCTTTGCAATCGGTTGAGACTTCATGTCCAACACCAGAACATATCCAGCAATGGTGAGTGCGCGTTCAGGCACCCGCCAATCCTGGAGCAGCGTTTTACGTTTTCCCGGAGTGGAGTATAAGCCGTACTTAGACGCCTCCATCGCTAAGCGGTCTAAAGCGCTCTGGACGGTTTGTGGATTGTCCCCTAGCAAGACTACATCAACAGTGAGGTTTAAGTCCGTGACTCTGTCTCCATGGAGGAGCTCAACACCGCAGTTCTGGACACCTTCCAGTGCTCTTTGAACGATATCGTCGATGGAACATTTGTAGAGGAAAAGTGAAATAGGGCAACCTTGGCGAACACCACTGGTCACAGCAAATGAAGAAGAGAGGGTGCAGTAATCCCTGACTTTGTCCGACATGTGGCTGTAAAGTTCTTTCAGGACGGCTACAAACTTGTCGGGCACACCTTTCTTCAGTAAACAGTTTCAGAACACAGATCTATCTACTGAATCAAATGCCGCTCGGATGTTCAAAAACACTACGATTGTTGGCCGCCGATGGATGTGACGAAGTTCGAGAAGTTGCCGAAGCGTGAAGATTTGGTTGATGCAGCTGCGGGTTGGAAGAAATCCGACGTGTTCTTCTCGGGGAAACTCCGCTCTAGTCGTTGAAAGCCTGAGAAGTAGGATCGACAAGAAGATTTTAGATGCGACAGAGATCAACGAGGTTCCGCGGTAGTTGCAGCAATCGTCCCGGGAGCCCTTCTTGTGAATCTGACAAATGACCGATTCTCCCCATGAGTTCGGAACCTCCTCCTCAGTGCAAACTTTTGTGAACAGTGATAGGATTTCTCTGGCAAGTACACTCCTGTCACCTTTGAACAGAGTTGGTGGTATGCTGTTAGGAGCAGAGTTTTGCGGCGCTTCAAAGATTGGATTGCATCTCGGATCTCTGCTTCAGTTGGAGGGCCTGTGGAGACAGGTCAAAGATCATCCGTTGGGACTGGAGGTGCCACAGGTGGCTGCGTTGGATGGTTGAAAGAAAGTGCGAAATGCCCAGCCCAGCGACCCCATCGCCAGGGAAGGTTGGTGATCTTCGTGCCGTATGATTCGCAAATCGTCTGGCTGATAGCGTGGGAATTGCAACCGGTGGGCGTGATGATGCAAAACAGACGGCGAAAGTTGCCAGATGATGCAGCGAATTTCAGCTCATCAGCTTGTTTTGAACATCAGAGCATCCTCATTACCATCATCGTACACGTTAGCTAGAGATGGGGAACACCTCAGCTACTGTGCCGCAATACAAAGAAAAAAGGAGAGAAAAGAACAACTGGTGAAAGCTGGCTGAGCTACCGGTAACGGATGGGCATCGTTCCAGTAAGCTACGAGCCGGCTACTATGCATCAAAAAAAAAGAATTACTACGCAAAATTATATAAGGCTAAGTAATGAGATCGTGGTTGGAGGGGGAGGCTAAGAGGGATGGGGTGGGACAAAGGAACTCACAGCACGAACGCCACTGAGGTCGACTTCTAGCCATATCAGCAAGTGTGTCCAACCAAACGTGTTCATCGTCCTTCGGACCCCAACCAGGGAGCCGAGACGCTCCAACCGAGGCCAGCTCAGATGAGAGGCATTCATTCCTCTCGACCAAGTCATCGCTTGGCCACCCCTCCTCTTCTTCCATCCACACCCCCGGCGCGCAAACAACACAAGTCGCGGAAGTCGGTGGGCTCGCATGCGTAACACGTGGCCGAGCCATCGGAGCCTGATGCGTGAAATAACGGTGCTGAGTGCTACATTTCCTTTTCCTGTGCCATAAACAAGGCGTCGAACACGCTCGTTGCTCACGCGGTGTTCCCACCAAATGCGAGCTAAATTACGAAGGCACCGGTGGTCGAACGTAACTAGCCTCTTCAGGTCCGCTGCTTTAAGCGGCCAGGTTTCACAACCGTACATTAGGGTCGAACGTACTGCTGCATTGTACACTCTACCCTTCAGGGCAAGAGTGATGTCGCGCCGGCGCCATAAGTGGCAAAGGTTAGCAAAAGCGCCCCGAGCTTTTGCTATACGAACACCAGAGCGAAGGCTTGCTTTCAACTGTCGCGTAATAGACCGGCGGTGTTTGTTGTGCACTGCGCCAGCAGGCACCGCCCGTCGGGGATCCAGCGATTTCAAGGATCTTCCAGAGATCCAGCTTTTGGGAGTAGAGCGAGCGAGGCCGCAGCTGGACAAACCGGCTGACAACATGGTTTGTTGTAGACTTGACCAGTGAGAAAGAGCGGGATTTTCACGAAGCCTTTGTTGACACACCTTCACCACTGGGTCCTCCAACCTGTAAGTGTTCAGTCGGGTGTCTTTGGATCTAGGTGAACCATCAAAGCGCATGCAAACGGTTGCACATGCAAGTGCATGATCGGAACCGACGCATGTTGACCAAAATGATCGGCAGAGTGAACACAGACAGCTTCAGTCTTGCAGGCGGGCTTCCCATAAGGAACAGATATTTATCGATGGGGCTCTCCAGTGTTCGAGCGAGTGCCACCCGCTGACCGATTTGCAACAAAGTGGGTATCCTTCGGTCCCCTACTGGGGATCGAACACATGATCGCTAGAGGCTGACGTCGACTAGCCAGCAGCTTAAGTCGCTGAGCCATGGGGATGGTGGTTGAGCTACATAAGTTCCTTAGTTTCAAATGCCATGGACACCGCATCTAGTGAGAGGAAGTCATGACCTCGGAGGCTAGCCAGTAATTTGCACCGGTAGGAACCTGCGTGGCAGTGGTATATACGTTGTGCTATATCCCAGTTAGCTTGCAAATTGTGTTGCTCAACCACCATCCCCCAAGACTAAATCCCTTAAGATGCTGGCTAGTTGGCATCAGTTTCTAGCGGTCATGAGTTCAATCCCCAGTAGGGGACCGAAGGATGCGCACCACTGACAAGCTCCAATGGGGCAAAATGCGAATCTGGTACTTTTGCGGATGGAGGTTGTCCTATGTAGCTTGTGAGCTACTGAGACAAACATTAAAAGTACATCTAAGAGTCTCCTACTCATGAGTAACATAAATTCTAATTTCCACATCGGTACCATGTAAAAGGCAATGCGGACTGTCTCGGGGTAACACTATTTGGCCAACTGCTTGGATCGTGTCTGTATGAGGTCGCTGGGAAAAGTTACCAACTGTTTATGAACATTCGCCAGTTGCCGAACAATAGTACAAGCCTTCTCCCAACTCAGTATCGTCTCATCTTTCGACGACAGCCTTTCAAGAGCATGTCTGTTATGGATACCAGATGTTAGACAATGTAGAGCCGTCGCTTCTTCGAACTTCGTGGCTGGGGTTTCACTTATACCGACACACTGGTATGGGCTTGCTGAATCCTTGCAAGAAAACCAATGGCACTTCCTTCAGGGTTTCGAGGCAAAGTTGAGAAAGAATACTGCGCAGTGTATGTGTTCAGTCATTAGCCCAATAACCCGCTGCGGAATTCTATCGCGCTGTTAGATCATTGTTCATTGCACGGATGACCGTAATACTTTAGTTGTTCATCCATACTGTACGTCCTGCGTTGAGTCTGTTGTGACTTGTTTCTCGTCATATTTCATTCGTACTCTCGTATTTTCCTAACGATTTCACTCATCTTGTACCGACCTGATCGGGATGCAAAGGACAAATCATGTGGATTTGAGGACACATTAATAGTACTATCCCCTATAGCAGCAGATAGCTCTTATTGATAAATGGCATATATCTGCAGCTCATTTGGTGGAAATTCGCACTTGGATCACTGTGAAAAATTCACTTGCCGCCGAGAGTCTACTGACGTTCATTGACATCTACTTTTTGACGTTGCCACTTATGTATATCACAAACTAATGCAAACTACTGACGATCACCTTTAATCCTTAGACCGGATTTGTCTTATCCGAAGCGTCCATCCTTTCTATCAATACATCAAATATTGACCAGTTATTCGTATGCTTGCTTAAATACCCTGTATTCGGTGTATGGTACAAAACCGTAATCCGCTTATCAGAACTCGATGAGCTTGTATCGCGTTGCTGAGAACAAACGTTTACTATTGTTATTACGTCCAAAGACGATTCCCTGAACGTCGTCTCTGGATCGAAATTATTGAACATCAGCACCCTCGATGATGCGCCGTGGGATTAGAAGGGCTGATCGACTCCGATGAGACCGAATGTGTTATGTACAGCTGTGTGGTTTGTCTCTACCAACTACTTTAACTCCCTCACTGGACAGTGTAAAAAAAGTAATCTGGAAACTGTAGCAAACCTCTGGATGTATAACATCCATAACTAAAGAGGTGACGTCATTACATAAGTCTTGTCTACTTGAATATCAATCAATCAGTGGATGATTCTAGTATTCCTCTCCACCATATCCTGAGACTCTTATGCGATTACAGCAGGACCATACATTTGGGTTGCTGATATGGAACAAAGAGACAAGTGGGAATGCCCACAAAAGGGAAATTTATTGGAGTTACCAGATAATAGGTCCGATCTCATATGTACATAGTGTGAACAGTCAGATTTCTTACAGGTTTATTCAATATCATATGGTGCAAATCTTTCGCGCATTTTCAGGGTCAACTGCGTCTCGCGTTCCACACTGTCGACGCAATTTCTCCAGTCCGCTCTGTCTGGACAATTCAAGATACGCTGGTTGCTCAAGACGAATCTATAGAAGATAAACGGGTAAAAAGCTGAAATGGTGGGCAACTCTGAGTAAGCAGTTGATGCAAGCAGGTATAAAGGATACTGATTGTCAGCAAACGTACAATTTCAATCATTTACTTGAGCATTGAAGACTAACGTCATCCAAGCGGGGAAATGGTGAACCAGGAGAAAAGGCACCCGATTCAGAATGTCTAACACGCGGCTGTAGTTAGGTTGATGTTACGACACAGCAAGAAGTAGGCGCGAAATCACTATCGCTAATTCTAGAAATTAGCTGAAGGTGTGAAAGATCTCAAGGTATACTCGAGAATATATTATTTATGTATTTATTATGATCTAGGTTATCATTTTGTAACACTCGTTGTGTGAATGGATTGAGATCTGCACCGAGGCGAACCTTGGTCATTTTGATCACTAAGACGGTAGTTGAAGCGGATGGTAATTGGGTGTTAACCGCTCGAAAAGATTGCATTCCACGACGCCTTTCGAACTAGTTTACTCACAGCAGGTACATACAGCAGGCATCGAACCAGGGGCCTTTGTGATATCCACCAAAGCTTCTAACACTCAGCCACTGAGCCGCGGCGCACAAAATTTATCCCAACGGTTACTGACTGATTGAGGGGTCTTTTTGAAGTACTAGTTGCGTGAGTGGTGCGAAGCGCGATCTGAATGTGGACCGCGATTCGCAATGAAGTGAACCTAGGGACAGTAGTTGAAGCCGATGGAAATGATTTGTTGCCCGCATCGTTATGTATAAACCGTGAGACCGTGGTTGGACAGGGAGGCTAAGAAGGATGAGTGCAGGACAAATGAATTCATAACAGAAAACGCCGCTGTGGTCACTTACTGGGCATGTCAACAAGTGTTGCAATCCGAACGCGTTCATCGTCCTTCCGACCTCAACCCGAAAGTCGGGAGGCACCGATCTCAGTCGCGCAAACGCACATTGTGAGAGTCGACGTTTAGGCGTGCGTAATCGATGGCAAACCTGTCGAAGCCTGGTGAGTAAAATAATGGTGCTGACCGGCTTACTTGCTCTTCATATGCCGTAAACAAGACACGCTCAATGCTCACGCGGTGTAACCAAAAGACATGATCCAAACGGCGAAGGCAACGGTGGTCGAACGTAACTAGCCTTCTAAAGCCTGCCGCTCCGAGAACCTAAGTTACATAATTGTACGGGAGAGCTGAACAAACGGCTCCGATATAGATTCTCAGACTGATGCCGTGCCAACGAAATAAGTGACGAACACTAGCAAAAGCACCTCGAGCCTTTGCAATACGGTTTCCCACTTCGTCTTCTATTCCAAAGGCGCTGATACCGTTATCACGGTAGGTGGATTTCTGAACAACTTCCAATTGATCCTATCACGGGTCAGTGCAAAGAGTGGTCCCTTCCAATCTAGGAGGAAAGATTTGCAATTCTAGGGCGCAACGGTTGAGAACCAGGGTTAATCCGTTCAGTGCTCCTCAGCACCCTTGCGAGTTATCACGGTCATTTTTATGGCTAGCACGCAATTTTGTGTTGATCTTTGCTACTCTCGATGTGTTCTCGCCCAATCCTAATGTATGACGAGCAGGCAAAAGTTCAAGACAACGTACAGACCCAACGTTCAGGTTGGCAAGCTGATTTGCAACATGATTACATGCTTGTTGCTAGTAAGGTCTGGAGAACATGCCAGCAGCGATAAACAAATAAATAAATGACGTTTGTTCTCGAACGAACGAGGCACACCATAAAATGGCATGATCAACAGTTTAACAGATGGATGGTGACATAGGTCGAAAATGGTTGTGCCAATTCTAAGGAATACTTTTCAGTACAAGTCTGGTATGTTGTAGCGCAAATGCCAGGTGGTCAGCGCAAAGTGAAAATATCATCCGTTTGAAGTTATAGGAAGCTAAAAAAAGCTCGGCAATGGTGCCAGTTTGACCGATTACTCAAAGCGAATTCCAATATGTATGTATTAAGAGCATCCGGCTTCATCACTTGGGAAGAGTGTATGCGCCCAGAACGAAGTAGCAGGCGTCTGCCGAAACGCAATCGTTGATCAGCAAATATACGTGCATTGTCGGAGACCATGCTTCTGCTCCATACCAAGCAACAGTTTCTGAAACAATCACTCCAATGGTAACTGGTCGCGATGTCATCCATTCATGCCCATGACTGGTCCGATGCTTGTGGACTCCACGTTATCTTCCTTCTGGCGCAGTTTCGGAAAGCAGTGCTCGCGAAAAAAGACCGCCACCTTCAAACAGATTTAGCAACCGCTCACCGTTATCAGAATGGCAGCCGACACCATGTTGGCTGCCCAGATGTAGCGCACCAGTGAATAGTTCTCCAACCTGAGCGCTCAGATCACCATCCAGCATGCATGCCCGTTCAGTTGACGATAGAGGTCACCTTTAACCGAGTAACGCTACAATTTGTTGAGCCACATTGACAAAGGCACCCATCGGCCTCGCGCGACTTCTAAGCTTTGAACAATCCAGCCAATACGACAGTGCACATCCGGCTACTGATGGAACCCAGTCTACCAGAGCACCTTCAGTCAGGGGGTTGTGAGTAATACTCACATCGGCCTGACCGGCATTCGAACCTGCGCAATGGGGAATACCGCCAGTGTCGAATGTAGGGGAAGACAGATATATATTCACAGTCTGTTAACAGACACTGTGCCATCAGAACCATCGCAGAAAGATGGAGAAAATAGAAACGAAATGGGATAGAAAAGGTAAACGATTTTTGAGTTTTTGTGTGTATTAAAGGGGAATAAGATGGCCGAACAACATTGACGCCATTGATATCAGTTGCGGGCCATGACATCCAATGTTTCCAACCACTGATATACTGCATCGCGTGTTCCCCAACGTGAAAGACAGACCGGACCGACTGCTGCCAAAGCTGAGGTTGCCTTCTCCACGTCATTGGGTGTCTACCACGGCACTTCTTCCAATCGCTCCCTGGGAGTGCAAATAACGCTTGACGTGGAAGGCGATGGGCTGGCATGCGCAAAACGTGCAAGAACCAACGCGTGCGATGTCCGATAATAACGTTTTGAAGATTGGCACTACTTGCTCCGAACACTCGGACCTCTGTCTTGCTCACATGGTGTTGCCACCACACCCGAGCAATCCTTCGTGGGCGGTGATTATCGAAGACTGACAACCGCTTCATGCATTCCGAGCGAATAGACCGTCTCACAGCCGTACAAGAGTACTGCATGCACGGAAGCATTGTGAACCCCGCCCTTGAGAGTGACAAAACGACGACGCCAGAGGTACCTCAGTTTGATGAATGCAAGGCAAACCTTTGCAATCGGTTGAGACTTCATGTCAAACACCAGAACATGTTCAGCCATGGTGAGTGCGCGTTCAGGCACCCGCCAATCCTGGAGCAGCGTTTTACGTTTTCCCGGAGTGGAGTATAAGCCGTACTTAGACGCCTCCATCGCTAAACGGTCTAAAGCGCTCTGGACGGTTTGTGGATTGTCCCCCAAGAGGATTACATCAACAGCGAAGTTTAAGTCCGTGACTCTGTCTCCATGGAGGAGCTCAACACCGCAGTTCTGGACACCATCCAGTGCTCTTTGAACGATATCGTCGATGGAAAAATTGTAGAGGAAAAGTGGAATAGGGCAACCTTGGCGAACACCACTGGTCACAGCAAATGAAGAAGAGAGGGTGCAGTAATCCCTGACTTTGCTCGACGTGTGGCTGTAAAGTTCTTTCAGGACGGCTACAAACTTGTCGGGCACACCTTTTTTCAGTAAACAGTTTCAGAACGCATATCTATCTACTGAATCAAATGCCGCTCGGATGTTCAAAAACACTACGATTGTTGGCCGCCGGTGGATGTGACGAAGTTCGAGAAGTTGGCGAAGCTTGAAGATTTGGTTGATGCAGCTGCGGCCTGAACGAAATCCGGCGTGTTCTTCTCGGGGAAACTCCTCTCTAGTCGTTGAAAGCCTGCGAAGTAGGATCGACAAGAAGATTTTGGATGCGACAGAGATCAACGAGCTTCCGCGGCAGTTGCAGCAATCGTCCCGAGAGCCCTTCTTGTGAATCTGAACAATGACCGATTCTCCCCATGAGTTCGGAACCTCCTCCTCAGTGCAAACGTTTGTGAACAGCGATAGGATTTCTCTGGCAAGTACACTCCTGTCACCTTTGAACAGAGTCGGTGGTATGCTGTTAGGAGCAGAGTTTTGCGGCGTTTCAAAGATTGGATTGCATCTCGGATCTCTGCTTCATTTGGAGGACCTGTGGAGACAGGTAAAAGATTATCCGTTGGGACTGGAGATGCCACAGGCGGCTGCGTTGGATGGCTGAATTAAAGTGCGAAACGCTCAGCCCAGCGACCCAATCGCCTGGGAAGGTTGGTGATCTTCGTGCCGTATGATTCGTAAATCGTCCGGCTGATAGCGTGGGAATTGCAACCGGTGGGCGTGATGATGCAAAACAGACGGCGGAAGTTGCCAGATGATGCAGCGACTTTCAGCTCATCAGCTTGTTTTGAACACCAGAGCGAAGGCTTGCTTTCAACTGTCGCGTAATAGACCGGCGGTGTTTGTTGTGCACTGCGCCAGCAGGCACCGCCCATCCGCGATCCAGCGATTGCAAGGATCTTCCAGAGATCCAGCTTTTGGGAGTAGAGCGAGTGAGGCCGCAGCTGGAAAAACCGGCTGACAGCATGGCTTGTTGTAGACTTGACCAGTGAGAAAGAGCGGGATTTTCACGAAGCCTTTGTTGACACACCTTCACCACTGGGTCCTCCAACTTGCAGGTGTTCAGTCGGGTGTCTTTGGATCTAGGTGAACCATCGAAGCGCATGCATAATCGGAACCGACGCATGTTGACCAAAATGATCGGCAGAGTGAACACAGACAGCTCCAGTCTTGCAGGCGGGCTTCCCATAAGGAACAGATATTTGTCGATAGGGACTCTCCAGTGTTCGAGCGAGTGCCACCCGCTGACCGAGTTGCAAAAAAGTGGGTA